TTTTTTTTTTTTTTTACTGTAGTGAATCCCATATTAACACAAAACTATTATTTCCTTATTAAGTCTGATTTTTCAGAGCTTTGTGAGTAACACAAATTCTAAGTTTTTCAAGAACTTGAGTACAGAATGGTATTCTTGTGATGTATAATTATGAAATGCCTGTCAACAGGATCCGGAGGAATGAGGATATGGTAACTTTCAATATTTATTCACAGCCTTCATCTAATGCTCTTGTAAAATATTTTTAAAAATATTTTCTAATTCACCCTTGCACAATGTTGGTGACTTCTAGACAAGTGGACAAAGATCTGAAAGGTCCCAAATTTGTGTACATATTCTATTCAATACATAATTCTAATTTGTAAAAATAAAAAGGAATTAAACGTTTAACCAGCTGGATTTTCCTCATAGTTTATATAATTCATGTTCTTAATTTTAAAATTGAACTTACTTCATATTTGGCATGACTGAAACAACTGGTGGAGGAGGTGAAAGGCGAGGTGGAACATCATATTCGTCATTACCTAGATGGCCATTTGAAAATATCTGCAAGAGACAGATTTCTCAGGATGGTAATTTGCAAACTATATGCATTAAAATGCTCAGTTACAGCATTTTCTGAACCCATTCTCACCTTTAATTTCATTTTTCATTCTGCAAGTCTGCAAATTGCCTGTCATCAGTACAAATTCCATGTGTTCAGCACCATAAATAATTCAGCTAAGGTCCCCTCACACACTTTAATAAATGTATTCCTTAAAAAATGTCTGATAAAGAATTATTTGGTTTTAGCCATTATATAATCTTCAAATAAATTATAAATAAATGGGTCACTAAATAATAAGACAATTATTATTCTATTGTTTGCAGCATTCATGTTAATTAAACTTCATGTATCACATTTTACGTTAGCACTTTCTAATGGTAATTCATGACATAAGAATTTTTGTAGAAATCTTGGATCATAATCCATGAAACAATATTTTCTGTTGATATCTGAGTTTGCAGTGAGTTCAGGTTTACGACAATTATTATTTCCAACTAAATAACATCCTATTATTTAATTATTCCCACATACTTCTCTGGGGCACCAGGCTTCAAGTGCAACACTCTTGAATTCCCACATACTTCTCTGGGGCACCAGGCTTCAAGTGCAACACTCTTGAATTCCCACATACTTCTCTGGGGCACCAGGCTTCAAGTGCAACACTCTTGAATTCCCACATACTTCTCTGGGGCACCAGGCTTCAAGTGCAACACTCTTGAACTAAAACTAAATTTCATGCATCATAACATCTATCTCTTACCTTGGTACCTTCTAAAGGTAATTCATGGCATCTGTGTTTCCGCAGAAATACTGGATCAGAACCCATGCGACAATGTCTTCCATTCATATTTGAGCTTCCAGTAAGTCCAGGTTTGGGACAATTATCATTTCCTACTATACGACATCCCACAATTTGATTATTCCCACACACTTCTCTGAGGCACCAGGCTTCAAGTGGCATTGGTTGATCTCTGGTAGATATACTTTCAGGATGATGCAAATGTCTACTTAACCTATTATCTGGAGGAATGGGTGGGGGCCTTTCTGGTGGAGGTGGAGGTGGATCTCGTATAGGTGGTGGTGGTGCTGGAAGAGGCTTGTCTTGTTTCCTCATCATACATGGAGAAGACTAAGATATAACATAAATTAAAATGCTTCATTAAGTATATGATGTAAACTTAGTGACAAATACAGTATTTTGTATATAGGTAGTCCTCGAATTACAACCATTCATTCAGCAATCATTTGAAGTTATGACAGTGCTGAAAAAATGGACTTACGACTGGTCTCCGAAGTTATGGCCACTGCAGAACCCCTGTGGTCATGTGATTGTGATCTGGGTGCTTGATAACTCACTCGCACGTATGTTTGCAACCTTCCCTGCCAGCTTCCCACAAGCACAGTCAATTTTGCTCGGGTAAGTCCATTTGTAGGAGGAAGGAGAAAACCTCACGAATGGCCAGCAGCTTCCAACATGAGCTGCAGAGCATGCACCAGAAGCACCCTTGGAGAACCCTTCAGCACCAGAAGTGCCCCTGGATAGTCCTTGAGTGAGCGAAGGAGGGATAAAGGGGACAGCGCGTGAGAGTGAAGGGGGAAGGAGGGCACGGTGTGTGCATGCGAGTGACCAAAGGGAGAAAGAACATGCTGGTGCGTACAAGCAAGCAAAGGAGGGAAGGAGAGCTAAGAAGCCCCTGAGCTGCTGTGTGGCAAACAGCCCCAGAGCCATGTGGTTCTGGGGCTGCTTGATGCCCCGTAAGGCAGGGTGCAGGACAGCCAAAAGGGCAGAGAATGGGGGGAAGATATGCAGGTGGGGGGAGTTGGAGGCAGTTCCTTACCTTATTGAGGCTCAAGGCTAGGAGAGACCAAACCTGGAATGGCTTGGATTGGGGTGGGTCCTGGGCTAATGACCGGTGGAATTCGCTTAATGACAACAATGGGGAGTGCCATCGCCAAGCGATGCGATCATGTGATGTCTCTCTTTACGACCACATCATTTAGTGACAGAAATTCTGGTCCTAATTGTGGTTGTAAGTTGAGGACTACCTGTATCACCTTAATTCATACATCACTTGTTAAAATGATTACCATCCAATAAAAACAATAAACACTGAAAACGATTTGAATGAATCAATACATATACACCCAAATATAAAAACAAATCTATTTCAAAGTACCATGTTTGTTGTTTCAAATCAATATATGTACTTTCTCTTAAGACCAAAAACCTAATCCTTGTGTCAGTTAGAATGACAAAATTAATTAAAATGATATCAATGAAGAAACTTTCTGTAAACTTCAATAAATCAATATCCAACATAATTAACATGTAAAAAAAAATTGTCAAGTTAAAAAATAAAAACACTAATACAGTCCATTATTAGATGTTTGCACACATATGGGAAATACACACTCTAAATGACTGATTTTTTTTTATTACATATCCAATATTCAGCTAAAAAAATCTGTGTTCAGTTATAATCCAAAGATGTATTTTCTTTAGTATGCTTATGAAATAATTTCCCCTTCTTATATGTTTATTGGAAGCAGAAATAGTCTCTATAATTTTCTTTTAACTAATTGTAGACAATAGGTTCAAGTCTCCCACAGATTTTTATTTGTTCTCGTATCCAAGAAGCGAAAATAAATTGTAGAATATGCAACTAAAATAATTAATTTTACAAAGAATCATTAGATTTCTGAAAAAAAAAACACAATTATAAAAAAGGCAGAGCAAAGTATCAAAGTGTTGACATAAGAAGGAGGAGAGCTCAGAGTTCAACACTGAAGAGACATGCTTATACAGTATATATAGATATATTGCATGCTTGCTCTAATTATTGTTGGAAATCTTTAGTACAGTTGTATAGCAAACTCTAGGATGGTTGTAAAACCGTCTTTTACTTCAGGCCTGTGTGCAGGTAAATAATAATAATTATTAAAAAAAAAAGAACAGAGAATGCAGAACAATATGCATTAGAAGTATATGTATAAAATGAGTAAATGCAAAACGAGTTTATAATTGTTGGTTTACAAATTAGATGCACAATTTCCTCACTGAGCACAAAAGCTAACATGGAACTTGCTTTTCCAAAGACAAAGAATATTGGCTTGGTGAAAGGAGAAGCATGGAATTAGGTGCAGGAATGACCACGTTAATTAGGTGAGTTCAGTAGATTTGAATAAAAGCAGAAAAATCCAAAGAACAGCAGCTGAAGAGAAGGAGAAAAGAAAGTATAAGAATAAAGAATCAAGAAAAAGGAAGAGAAAACAACCTTCAGCCAATGAGCAATGATATTCAACTGCAGTGATCTGCATGTGGTTGGACTTTTGTGTGTGTATAAGTGCATGAAACACTAATTCTTAAAACCATGAAATTGGGAAGAGAAGCTTAAGAAGTCCTCAGTATGCTTCTAAGAAAAAGAATGTTAAACTCCTATATTGTATCCCTAAATTGTACTTTTACCTTTGGTGAGCTTGTTGGGCTGGCGCAAGGGGATCGGGAAACTCCTTTCTGTATTAGATCCAATCGAGGAGGCACTGGTGGAAGGGTAAGATGGGATCCTTGTATGGGATCAGGAAGTGGTTTCCTTCTTTGAGCAAGAGGAGATGATCCTGGAGATGTCACAGGGGAATTCTGTCTTTCATTACACTGCAACAGAAGATGTTTTGAAATATTTAATATTTATTGCTCAGGGAAAGCACAAACTTGCAAGTTCTTACTAAGTACCTGTCAATTATAACAATTGCTATTATTTACATAATTGCAAGTTATATCCCACTTTTTCCAGGAGCACTTAGCAAAACTCAGTTCTACTTTCTCCTCACCACTTCATTCATAAAATATACCTTGTTTGTTTAGCAACTGCAATGTGTTCCTTAAATCAGAAGCGAAATGGTTCCTAGGCGAACATATGAGAGAGAGAGAGAGAGAGAGAGAGAGAGACCTGCTGCAAAGATCACTGGTTGGTGCCATTTCATTCAAATAAAGTTCTCTCATACAGTGTCCTGTGCAGACCCATTTTTTCCCTTTTTCTGCCCCTTCACAGGGCACAGAGATTGCTTAAATAAGCTATCTATTCTTGAACTGCTTTTCTTCAGAGCAGCACTTCCCTAAAAAGTGCTAAGGGCAAGTTAACAAGCTCAGCTCTGTGACCTTAATTAGTTGATGCAGCATTGCTGCCTGAAACTGACCAGACCTTAGTCAGTTTCACACTGAAGGCTTTTGTTGTCAGGTGCATGGAATTTGGTTATAAATGTTTGCATTGGTGCAAAAATGATTTTTTAAATTATTATGATTACCATCATATTTGTGAACAGTTGCTAAACACAGTAGCCACTAAACAAGGAGCGGCTATAGTTCTGTCAGGTTAGCCTGTTTCTATTTATATCAAGCCAAAGGTTTTTGTGTGAAACAACTGGAAGTCCTGCTCCCTCAACAGAGGTAACTGTGATGGAATGGTGTTATGAAGGCCACGCTCAGGGAGATAAGCATTTCCTTAGCCCTCAACAGGAGCATGGGAAGTTTAAGATGAGACTGACACCACCTTAAGGAACTCACGGTGTTGTGGCTTGCTGGCTTGGGAACTTAGGTTG